GCGGGGGGGGGGGGGGGGGAAGGGGAGATGCCACTCCACAGAGCTTCCCCCCTTCTATAACCTGCTGAGTGTTCGAAGACTGAAAGAACTTCATTGGAGCCCTTGTATTAAAAATTATTTATTTAGTGATCTGTACATGGGATGAAGCAGGGCCTCATACAGACCTTCAAAAAATCAAGTAAAAACATAAATACATATTTTCTTACAAAAATGAGATTTACAAAATATACATACTGCACTCGTCTTACACGTTTGTTTTTTTCTTTTTCTTCCACGTGCACATTATAAAAGACAAAAACCCAAGCCCTGCAAGTCTGAGATCAGATCTACTGAAGGATTTGGCTGATGGGCCCATTCCTCATGCCTAGACTACTGCCTTCAGACAGCAGCAGTCTGCCCCCTCACCCTGAACAGTTTTTTTCTTTTTAAGTTTCATTCCAGACACTTTTCCCCCCAAAAAATGAAGAGCAGCTATAGGGTGGAGACTTGCTAAAAATCCAGCATTTCCTATTTTGTCCTTAGGCAAGAATATACACACACACACACACATAAAAACAACCCTTCAGTGAATATAAAGGTAAAGTAGTATGCAAAAAATAAAATATGAACAAGTCAACATAAAAATTTCAGAGTAGAAAAATCTGTCACATTTCAAAAAGAAAACGATGCATTTGATGATTAATTCTTTAATGTCTTTCCTTCCAAGACGTGATCACTGGAAACTTAACCAGCTGCATTTTAGCTGAAATGAGAAGGCTTCTCACTTACGATACCTGCTTGCTTTTAAACCCCAACCCCAGCCCCCTCCTGCACTGCGAGTCATTGCCATGCAGTTCAGGGAACCTGAGGAGCAGGCAAAGGGTGCATCGTGAGCCAAAAGGATTCCTCCTGTCCCCAGAAGCCGGCTGTGTGTTGACTTTACCTGCAGTGAGCTCACTGCAAAGCAGGAGAGAAAGCAGGTTTACGGGAAGGAAAGAAACCTATCTTTATGTTACAGATCTTAATGGCTCTTGTTTTGGCAGGTGCTCTCGGTTACTCTCTTCTTGCCCTCCAAGTCTTGCGTTTCCTTCAGCTTAGAAAAGCGACCCATGTTGAACGGGAGGAAAACATCCTGCCTTCTCCTCTTTTCATAAAAGGAATGTTTATTTCTGCGAGCTCCTCACATCCAAGGGTGAACCTCAACGACTTCTTTTTGTTACTTTGCCCATAAAAACCGATCCCATGCTTATGCCTTTCTACATCGAAAACACTTTTGTTTCCCCCTTTGTCTCCTAGAACAAAGGCAAGGGAGAAAAGCCTTCTGCTGAAAAGCAACAAGTCATTTCTTTTCAGGGTGTGGAATAGCAATCCCCTCCTTCCCCACAGCAGCGAGAACACACCGAGGGCCGAATCTTAACTTTAAAACAATTAAAACAGATAGTACTGAGGTAAAAAGGAAGTTGTGAGCTGACAGAGCAGAGGTATCTCACCAGCACACGATCTGGGCAGTAGCTGGTTGTGCAGTACTCACGTGATTGCTGGAAGGAGCAGGCGGTAAGCTCAGGCTCAGGAGTTACCCTGCCTGCGCTGCAGTTTGACCCCAACAATTCAGAGAGGGTTTGGCTACTTCTCGGCAGGGGCAGCTCAACAGATCTGGCCTCCCCTCCCTCTCGTCCAAAGCAAGACAGGATGTTTTTAGTTAGGTTGGGTTTTTTTCCTGCACAGGGGTAGCAGGAGAGATAGGTAAGAGGACTTCTTGCGGGTGAAGGACTCTCCAATCCCACCAGTGGCTTCTTTTTCTGTGTTCTTCTAGCTGGGCATAAGCACCACTGGATACGGTCTGTCTGATCCTTTACGCAAAGATATATTTTTTTTTCCAAACCCTCTGGGAGGAAGAAAAAGTTTGGAAAAGCCTCCCTTCCTCCCCCCTCAGGGAGCCATTGCCTTCGCGTATCCCTCTCCTCTGCGTGTGTGCATGTGTGCGTGCGTGTGTGTGTGTGTGTGTGTGCCAGAGGGGGCAGGGGGGTCTCATACTGCTGTCTCGCCTTTGCTGCCGGTGCTGAGTCTGTGGTAGAAGCGTCGCCAGGACTGAAGGGTTTTGCCAGACCAGATCCAGAAGCCAGTTGTGATCCCAACAATCATGGTCATGAGGTACTTAATCATGAAGACCGTGAAGTCCGGGCTCATAGGGGCAAAGTGGCTAGGACAGGGCACGGCATAGGTTTTGCAGGTCTGGAGGAGCCACGTCTTCTCCCAGGTGCCACGGAAGGCCTGCTCGTAGAAGTAACATGCCAGGACAATGGTGGCAGGCACCGTGTAGAGGACACTGAAGACACCGATGCGCACCATCAGTTTCTCCAATTTCTCCGTCTTGGTGCCGTCATGCTTCATGATGGTGCGGATGCGGAACAAGGACACGAAGCCAGCAAGTAAGAAGGAAGTGCCAATGAAGAGGTACACAAACAAGGGCGCCAGCACAAAGCCCCGCAGAGAGTCCACGCTGTAGATACCTACATAACACACCCCACTGAGTACATCCCCATCCACCTGCCCCATGGCCAAGATGGTGATGGTTTTAACAGCGGGCACAGCCCAGGCAGCCAGGTGGAAATACTGGGAGTTGGCCTCGATGGCCTCGTGGCCCCACTTCATGCCAGCAGCCAGGAACCAGGTGAGGGACAGGATGACCCACCAGATGGAGCTGGCCATGCCGAAGAAGTAGAGGATCATGAAAAGGATGGTGCAGCCTTCTTTCTTGGTACCTTGGGCCACAGTGCGGTAGCCATCCTCAGAGAAGCGCTCCAGACACACCACCCGCTCCTCCAGCAAGAAGCCTGCCGCATAGGCCACTGCCACCATGAAGTAGCAGCCTGAGAGGAAGATGATGGGCCTCTCTGGGTAGCTGAAACGGCGCATGTCGACCAGATAGGTGAGCACGGTGAAGAGGGTGGAGGCACAGCAGAGTACAGACCACACACCCACCCACAGCCGGGCAAATCGCACCTCTGCCTCCTTGAAGTACATGAGCCCATTGGGCCGGGCTGGCTCACAGGGGGCCCCGCAGTCCCGCTCCCCCAGGAACCGGTAGCCCAAGTAAGGGGGCACTTTGAGCTGCCGGGGGCAGGAGAAGGAGAAGCCGGAGGGGGGCTGCGGCGGGGTGAGGAAGTCAGGGATGTAGCCAGCCGTGGGGTGCATGGTGGCACCCCGGCCCGCCGCACCACCAGGCCCCGGCGGGGCATCTGACGTGTTCTGCCCCACGCAGATCTCACCCGCGCCGTGGACGGGAAAGTTCTCACAGCGGAGCCGCTCTGGCCACTGGAAGCCGAACTTGTTCATGAGGGCCTCGCAGCCCTGGCGGGCCCGCTCGCAGAGGGAGCGGCAGGGCGGGATGGCCTGCTCCAGCACGGTGCACACCGGCGCATACATGGAGCAGAGGAAGAACTTGAGCTCGGCCGAGCACTGCACCTTGACCAGCGGGTAGAACTGGTGCACCTCCAGCCCCGCGTCCTCCTGGTTGGTGTGGCCCAGCAGGTTGGGCAGGATGGTCTGGTTGTAGGCGATATCCGTGCAGAGCGGGATGGAGATGGGCTGGCAGAAGCCGTGGTCCGGCACGGAGATGCCCTTCTCGCCGTGGTGCTGCTGCGCCGTCGCGCCCGCGGTGGTCC